TCTGATAAAGAGTACATTTATATACATGTTTAAGCCAGAATGATTTTACATTTAAATATGACTTCCTTATGACTTTAAATCAATCAGCCTGGATGATCTGGTGAACTGGAAAGTCCTTAAGATGATGTGTGTAAATTGGTGCTATAGAAATAAACTGAAGTGAATTGTGTTCTTCAAATGTTTATGGCATTAATTGGAAGATAAAAAAATATGAATGTATTAGGAACTATTTTAGATGGAGTAATATTTAGTGATTTCACTGACATCAAAGGTTTTTTTTTGACAGAGCAACAGGTCAGAGGTCAGGCTGCAGAGGAAACACAGCTATGCATTCCTTCAGGGGTCAGTCAAAGCATTCCTGCAGTGTTGGTGGCCCCTAATGAAAGGGCCACAGCATTTCATAGAGTCCCCACAGCATAAACACAGCTACCTGTATGACGTTAGGCTCTGTAAGCAAATATTTTACTGGCAAAAAATCAATGTTTCTACAAGATTAGTCCCTTTATAACACAATAACTGACACTAAACAAACACATACACAGTTATTGCCAAGATGGCTTCTTTGCAGCAGAGATATTGCGAAATATGCTTCCAAGTCTGACAGGAATAAAATCCCAACGGAAGTTTAACCGTCAGATAATCTGCTGGTTAAAGGCAAAGATTAAAATATATAAAATTATTTCCACAGATTAGAAAAGAATCACCAAAGTTTATCAAACTAGAGCTTCCTTTAATGATCTGCTGCTCCAGGTTACTGGCGGGTTTCACTCTCCTCCACTTAGCTACACAAAGCTACCAGCTAGCTCTGTTAGCTTACCATTTCGACTGTTGCTTTCTGCTAAAAAGTGCTTAAACTTTCTGTTTAGTGCCGGTTTTTCTATTTATGATTGTGAAATAAAAACATCAGCTATGACCGTGTGGCTGGAGGAGCGTTTTCCCCTCAGGGCTGCAGCATGTAGCCCAGAGGAGAGCTGCTAACTCCGGCTAGTTCAATGGGCGAGCCTGCTTCCCACGCACGGCGCTTCCACGGCGGGTACAGGTTGCTTTTACCTCTCCGTCCACGACATCGTGGTACGCCGGAGGGGGGTCGAACCCGCTGCTCCCGGTCCTCCCGCTGGTTTCCCCGTCTCCACTGGAGCCCAAGCCGGTGGAAGGCCCACTCTCCATGGACTCGTACCCATAGCCGAGTCCGGGGCTCTCGTTGGTTAGAAGCGCCACTGCCTCATTGATGTCGTTCTTAGCCAGCCGGAGCGCTTTCCGGATCACGTCAGGATCCTGGAAGCCCATGCAGAGGAGCGTGGTGATGTGCTGCTCCGTCTCGCTCTCCATTTTCGGGGTGTCTCCGCTTGTCAGGCTAGTAGTAAAGCGGTCCTCGGCGCAGCCCTGTAGCTGTGCACGCCGCCATGTTTACAGTCCGCCGCCGCAGAGCCTGTCACGATGCGCAGCTTCTCCCAGAACAGCGCCAACACGGTGCGCTGCTCAATTCGGCGCCCCGAGAACTGGAGGCTGGCGTCGGGAGCGCGCACTCTCTCTAAACCACATGATTCACTG